GCCGCCGACACCGTTGCGCGGCGGACTCCGCCGGGCCATGTTCCCGTGCGCTGCGGCGCATACCGGGCCGGAGACCGGACCGGACCGGGCTGGGGGTCCGCGCTCCCCGCGCCGTCCGGTCCCGTCCCGTCCCACCCCCGCCCGCTTCCCCCCGCCCTTCCTTCGCCGGCGCGCGGGCGGCACGTCACAGCGCCCTAACGCGCAGGCGCCGCTCCTAGAAGCGCACCACGTGGGCAGAAGGGGGGGCGCGGCGCCCTTGCGCATGCGCAGAGGGAACGGCGCGGCACGCTGTCGCCCCCTTTACACCCACCCCCCAGCGCCGCTTACCGGGCCGCGACGTTTGTTTCAACGGTTTTATTAAAAAAAACACCAAACAAAAACCAACAAACCCACAAAAACGCTAGACCTCTACAGCACAGCTTCCTCCCAGCGCAGTCAGGGGTAGATAACACGTCCACCAGTGCCACTGCTGCCTCCATAAGCCCCCCCTTAAAGAAACTCCTCTGAATTTCATGGCCGAGAGGACCAGCTCTTCGTGCGAGGGCTCGCCGCGTCCCTCCACGGGCAGGCTTTCGTGCTTCTTTGTGCGAGGGCTGAGGGGCACGGGGACCGTCGGCTCATCCACCTCTTTAAGCTCGGGGGGAGCAGCAAGCGCTCAGGTTTGCAAACCTCCCTCCCTTGAAGTAACAGAAAAGAACCGCGTTAAACGTCCTGCAGAGCTCACCACCTACTGCAAATCAACCACAAGCTGTATTTTTGTCACAGCGGGTGCTTTTTACGTTACAGCACATCAAGGTTAACAACAGTCGACACCATCCAACTTTCACATCATTCCAGGATATAAAAGATTAAGCACAAGGTATTTCCACTGGATGAAGTCATGGAGGAGAAAGCTACCCTGGTGCACATGAAAAACCTCAGCACCCCTACCAGTGACCCGCACAGAAAGGGGCTGTTTCATGTTCTGCTGCCCCATTTCTCTTCAGTCAGTTTAACCTAGCCCACAGGCTCCATCCTGCCTTGCAAAATTAACCAAAGTAACATGGAATTAAGTGACCATCACCCCCGCAAAGAAGAGCAAATGAGCGATGGGTGCTCAGAGGACACGCAGGAGCCAAAGGCCAAGGCTTCAGCACTTGCCAAGGAACGGGAAGAGCACTCAATGTCCAGGACAAGGAACCGCTGCGATAGCTTTACGGTGGAAGTCACGGGAGGGACACGTGCCTTCGTGCTTACAGCCGCTCCTGCTGAGCCCCACAAGCATTACATGACTGACAACAAGTCATTGAAATCCAACTAATGGTGACACACACAAAAAAACTAAGAATTGGTTCAGCATCTCAACTCCCCCTCCATCAGGGCTGAGACAGAAGAGGAGGGTTTTTTGGTTTTATGGCAAAAGATCCTCCTCCCAGGAGATACATTGGCTTGTGACGTTTGTGTAAGGCTTTTCTGCACAGCTCACCATGCAAGGTGCGTGTGAAGAGGGACGCAGCCTCCCCAGTACGCTCGGGGCTGTCAGCCATTCCTGCGTCTAAGTGTACCACCACCCCAGGGAGGCCTCTACACAGGGAACTTAAATCTAACCTCGATAAATAAAACCAAATGTTTATTTACACCAAAGAATTCCAACACTGGATCTTTCACATATGAAGGACAAAGTATATATACACAGCAAGGGGTAGCAGGGCTGTAACAAGGGTGCTTTTCCGTTGTCAATGATAGTATTTGTCCACAATTACTGATCTACCATTTCAGTTTAAGTTAACATCTGCTCGCTCCTTCCTCTCAGTGCATATTTACAAGACTGTGAGGTAACTGGTATTCTCACCACATGGCACGTGAGGGAGGGGATGGTGGGTGAAGATGTGATATCGGACTTGGCGCAGTCTGATTTTTCCAGCTTTAAGTAGCCACCAGCTTGAAACCTATATAAACAATTTAAAAACAATATACCCAATAACAAACTAATTCCAGAGATCCAAGCAATGGCAGGAAGAACCCTCCATGAGAAAGGGGCTGATTAGAGTACAGCTCACTCTACAGGAGCGCCTTTCCAAGGAGGTGGCAAGGACTCCAATTGGATCAGTAACTCCATCTTTTAAGACTAAAATTACATGCAAGGGGGTGAGTTGGCATTCTGGTTGGCTCCTCAAGAGACATGATTCAATCCAATTAGGGTTTCAGACATTATCTGCACTTACTCCTTTTAAGCTTATACCACCTCTCCATGCTGGAATTGTCTCCTCAGTGTACCCCGGCTGAGTCATATGCAGGACATGGGGTTAAAGTGAGTGTACTTTAAGAATCCCCCTCCCCTGCCTCACGAAGACTTGGTTTGGTAGTCTCTGGAGAACAGCACAATCCCCCAAGGTGTAGGCTCATGGAGGAGTAATGGTGGGAACATGAAGAGATTTCCAGCAGGATGCAAGAGCTTGGAAATGCTGTTGATTCATCTTTGTTCTTAAATGAAGAGTACTTTTTTGGGGGGGTGGGGGGGGAAAAACTGTCCGAGAAATATTCCATCTGTAGGTATTTTCAGGGAATCCCCTGAGTTACGAAAAGTTCAAGTAAAAAAAGAAAAATCAGCCTATAATAATTTTGTATATAATGACTGAACTACTATAAATCCACAAGCAACAGTTCAGACACGGTGCCTCCAAAGCGTTCATCCCCTCCCTTCCCCTGCCAGGCACGAGCTGCGTCCTGAGGAGAGGTGGAGGGGGAAACCTCTTCCCCACCTGACTCAGCTCAGGCAGCAGGAGACAGAGCCCATCACTACTGCTGAGCGCCTGCAGCAGCTGGAACGGGCATCCCCAGAGTGGTGGTGGCAGAAATGACGGGTGAGCCTGCTAGAGGTCCAAGGGGTGAAGGTGTTGGCACTGAAGAAATCCCTGGAAGAGAGACAAGTAAGCAGGAATTAGAGTGAAACCAGTGCATTGCTATCCAGGACAGCTGAGCTTCGTAAATGAATTAGTATCTTTGCAGGTCAGTTTGCTGCCGCTTTGTTACATTTTCAGAGCTGCCAAAATAAGCTGAGATTAAAGATCTGTCACTGTTCTTTGCAGCCTCCAAAAAGAGCGCAGATTTGTATACATACAAGTGTCACTGCCGGGCAGATGTGTGGCAGGATCACTGTCCTCCAAACTGCTGCCAAAATATCCAACGGCAAAGCACTTTTTAAAAACAGACCAGAAAAGCAGGTCAGGCTGCAGCGAGGCCTTATTTATCATGCTCTCCCACCCACTTCTTCATAGCCCTCCTTGCCCTTGTCATCAGTCCCAGGAGATGACCTAATGCCCCACCTGCAGAACTCACCCTCCTGGATCCTCACATCCACACAGTGCATGTAAATGCTTTAAAATGCCACACAACAAGAAGAGTCGATAGTAGAACTGACCTGACATCATACTCGCACTGCTGACAGGAGTGCTGCCACCCGGCATGTTGGACGAGCCCATCCGAGCTTGGTCTTTCACAATGGGATCTAGGAAGAGCACACTACCCTTAGGTGCCATGTTGCCAGCCAGCCAGCCAAAGCACGCCGACTGCCTGCGACCTCTATGCTCAGCCAGTCCTGGCAAGCTGCATATGTCAAGTAATATCAACCATCATCTACTGGAACACAGAAGTTTCCACCAACTCCAGTGGGAAGCACCCAAGAAGGTACCAAGGTAAAATTATCAGTGAAAAATCACCTAAATGATAGGCTTTGGAGTTCAGCAGGACTGCTTGACAGGAAAAGCTGAAGGAAATTAAGGTGAAGTTGATCTCCCTTCTATGCTAAGCAACTGCATAATCGCATAAAGCCAAACCCAGAAAATGGGTGTAGCAAGCAGAAAGATTATCACTAATTACAGTCGTATGTCATGTCTCTATACGCATCCCACAGCAGCCTGAGAGTCGTAATGAGTGTCACTGGAGCTTGTTGTCTTCTGTAATATGTTCCCAACTTACTCACCAACTCTTTATTTTTAGCCGCAGGTAAATTACACTACCATCTGAACAGAGACAACCCCTTTCTGCCTCCCAAGCCTACTGCATCAGACAAGGGAATTCCAAATTTTGCCCTTCCTCACACCGAGTTCAGTACCACCTGTATCTCTATTTGGACACAAGTTAATTTAGCTGTTTGTCCAACTTTCACACTCCAAGCTTTCAAGCTTTACTAATTCTCGTATTTGCAAAACATTTCACTTGAACATTTGGCACAGGCACAGCACAGATCTATACTGTTTGTTAACTACACAAGTCCATTCAGCACCAAGGGAAAAAAAAAAATGTAAGTGAGCAAATACTCATATTTTGCATTGTTACAGCCGTTTCAAGAACCTAAATATCATGATTTGTGAAAAACAGCAAGCATTTAAAAACATTTACTAGTGAAAATTAGATTTTTGCTTGCAAAATCAAGGCCTGAATATACCATTCGCTAAGGTACACATTTAGCAACAAAAGGAGTTAAAAGGGCCTGTTTCTCAACAAACCAGAGTTATCTGGTTTCATCAAAATGCAAGATTCTGTGTACCCAGACACCTGCTGAAATCAGCATGGGTTTAGCACCAAAGCTTCTTTAACACAGCGCTGCTGATTCACTGGCCCGACACGGGCATATAACACTTTGTTTCCTTGGCTGGTGTAGGTGGCAGTGGCCTACTTTATCCACCACAGAGACAAGCAGCCTCAGCTCCAGTGCAATTATTTGCAAAGACCAGGCTTATTATGTTGCTGTTCTTAGCTCCTATCTGAACAACCTACAGGAATGGAGACTTCCCAGAGGCAGAGGAAGAAGTCTTTGGACAGCAGTCGATGACAGCAGCTGATACTTACAGAAGTAGGGGTGTTCCATGGCTTCTCTTGCTGTGAGTCGTGACTGGTGATCATATCGCAACAGCTTGTCTAAGAAATCCAGAGCTTCTGGACTCACCAGATGTTGGTTCTCACTGTGAACAAAGCGCTCCCATCGCTTACGGGAGTGTCTGTAGAAAAAGACACCCAAATCAGGCTAGGCAGAGGACATCAATGCCAAAATTCACTTTTTTAAAGAGCAAGAACTGCGACAGATGTCCATCTCCGAGAGGGGCCGCTGCTTGGTGCGGCAGCAACAGGGCTGTGCTGCACCAGAGCACAAAGCAGTACACCGTGTCTCCACGCGGTGGCACAGCCACCACAGCCCCGGACAGCATGAGGACTCAAATTCAGAATGGATCTATGGGCCTAAAATCCCAGCTTCTGCTCTTCTCTCATGCCCCCAACATCAGTATGTGTCACACAAAATAACTCCATGAGGCAAAAGATATGTAAATGCCATCTTAAGCAGCACCTGATTTTCTGCACTGTAATTCTGAGAAACACCATTTTGCTTTTTCTTCCCCAAGAATATTGGTGAGAGCATTTGCCCTTCATGCTTTATGCTCCGGCAGTTCATTTATTGCCTAGATGACATTTAAAAACCTCTCCTCAAGTCCATTTCCAGATAAAGGACCATGGGAAACACTAGCAAAAGGGATCAAAGGCACGAAGTGACAGTTCTCAAGCATCTTGGCTCTGATTTCTCTCATAAGTGTAAGTTTTTGTTAACTTCAAGGTCTGTTGACAAAGCAGTAGCTGTCCCAGTAATAAAGAGCTTATGAGCTACTCTGGACCTTGGCTCACCTGCCCAAGATGTCATTGAAACGTGGATCCAGTTCAATGTTGTATTTGTCAATGTAGTCATACAGATCTTCTGTTCCCAGCACCTTGGCTATCCTCACCAGCTGGGAACAAACAGAAAAATAAGTCACTACTGTGAGGGTATGATAATGCCAGAGCCTGCGTGAAGATACAGCAGCACATTCCCTTGGGAGCTTGAACCTGGTCTCAGTGGTCTGAACCAGCAGCCACAGGGTCATCTCGTTGCTCTGACTTCCCTGGCCACATACAATCACAGGCGTGGTGAACATGCCTCTGCTCACAGTCAGAACGTAGTAACTCAAGGCAGCCAGGAGGGAGCTGCATACCCTAACATCACTAAAACTTGAGACCTTGCAACACTAACTCCCTTTGTAGCAAGAAAATATTCAAAACCTTCGGGGGTGGAGGCAAGAATAACTGGTCAAAAAAGCAGAAACTCTGTAAGTTGCACGTGAAGGGTGAAGAGCCACCACGGAGGGTTCTAGAATGAAGGTTTGAGAATAGGTCACTGTTCTTGAATGTTTGCATGTTAGTCAGATGCAGAGCACGTGTTAAAGGTTTAAGTATAACAATTTTGGCCTAAAGGCAACACATCAAAGATTTAAGAATCTATATAAAACTGTACCAAATTCAGAGTTTCTATACAGAGGGGAGGGAAGGTGGAGAGTGGCAGGGGCTTTCCACGCAACATAACCTCAGGAATAGTCAATCTATGTAGCAGAACACACCAGCCTTAATATAACTATTGTTATAACTTTTTCCAGATACCTACTGAGGAGCTCGTAAGCACAAAGCACTATAAATCTATTTCTATTGAATTGGTTAGATAATCTTGCACACTTGAGAAAAGGAATGAGGCTTCAAATTGAGCAAAGAAGCCATTAGAGAAATGCTTAAATTCTTCTTCGGATCCCTCAATAGAAGTGTAAGCAGGAAACCTTCACTGTGCTAAGAGAACAGAGATTGTACATGACCAGCTCTCACCTGATCATAGTTGTCATGGCCATGGAAAAATGGCTCCTTTCGGAATATCATACTAGCCAACATGCAACCCAAGCTCCACATATCCAGACTGTAATCATACATCTGTACAAAACCAGAAGGACAATTCAATTTCTAATGAATTAAGCAGAACAGAGTCCCAATACTAACAGGGTCCCCCCTCCCTCCAGTGATACAAACGCGGCCACATTATGCTGGGAACAGACTGAAATATCTTCATGCATCTTCATCACTGATGACTGTTCAGCTCAGTGTTCCAGTTACTCAAACTGGGATACAGCAATTAGCAGAACAGCAGGTATCCTATTTCCATCCTTGTTGATAAAGATATTAAAGACCAGTGCCTTTTTCTATTTTCACCACAGACTTCAATGTTATGAATCACTGAGAAACACATGTTGAGAAGGGAAGCATCACAACAAGCATCAAAAGGAGTGGACTCCACAAGGTACATGGGCAAGTGAGGAAGTGCCTTCATTTAGAACCAGCACAATCTGAAAGTCACCAGTAACACTGCTATTTCCAGCCCACAGCATTTCCATAATGCAAACTGCCATCAGATATGGGGATGTTTTTATAACTTAATTTAGAAGTTTGTGCAGTACTAGCTCTTTCCACAAGGGCTTTGTTTCAATCTTGTACCTTACTGCAAACGCAGCCTTGCTAAAAATATTCAACATTTGTATTCCAAGATCCATGATGATAGTTCTGCGGCTCTTCCACAGGTCCTGAGACTACTCATTAGTTTCTTTAATTCAGTGGCTTTATAGCCACTGCTTTCTGCAATACATTTTAGAATGGACTGTCTTTAGCTTCAGGTGTCTAGATATCTGAATTTCAGGTTTGCTACCTTGAAATGACACAGAATTTCCACACAGAAGTCAGTGATAAATCCTGGTGATTCTTACCTGATAATCTACAAGGAGTTCAGGTCCTTTGAAGTATCTGGAAGCCACTCTGACATTGTACTCTTGGCCGGGGTGATAGAATTCAGCCAAACCCCAGTCTATTAGTCTAAGCTAGAAACGAGAGAAAAAGAAAAAAGGCTCAAGGGATGCTCCAGCTCTCCACTGGCTGAATGACACTACTGGTGAACTTAGTTTGAAGCTTCATTTACAAGTGTTTTATTTCCAATTAATTTGACGTTGATCAGAGTATCTGTTTAGACACTCTCCACAAACTCATATCACCAACCAGTCTAAATAAAAAATGTCTCCTTACTAACCCTGTTTATGGTTATGTGTAACCCATAAAAATTAAGAAAAGCAGCTTATAAAATTTCATTTCACATTTCTCCACATGATGGAAGTGCAGTCCCCCTTATCTGCTAGTACCACTACACAGGAGTACCCAAAAGGGATCCTAGTTCACCAAGAGAGAAGTAGGACCTCTCCCTGCCCTCCAGTCACCCCACATTACCTTTCTGTGCTCATGGTCAATCATGACGTTGTGAGGTTTGACATCTCTGTGCATGATTCCCATGCTATGGCAATAATCTAGAGCCTGTAGGTAACATACAAAGAAACAGATGCTGGAGTCACAAGAACCTTTCAAGTTCAATCATATTCAGAAGTATTTCCACATATACCAAGTCTAACTAGATGGCAAGACTTTACTGTCTAGTGTTATATCCTGGACTAGACTCGCTGACCACAGAAAACTTCTAGAGTCCCCCTCAAAGGGAGGTCCCAGCAACAGAAGTGTTTTGACTTCACATCATGTGCTTCCTCATAAAGATGGAATTTCAGAGCCCCTAAGAGCATAGTTACTAGGCACTACTGATAAAGCAAGCCTCCCCTTCTCCAGACTCCTGAGGAAAAAACACTTTTTTCAGAAGAATGGGCAAATAAATTTGACTCACATTTACATTAGAGCACAAAACCAGGCAGTAACAGCTTACAATTTTCTGTTTTCAGAAGCTATATGTACATTTGATTTAGGATCTTAAGTTATCTCATTGTACCCAAAGGCTCCGCTAGTCTCAGAAAAAAGGACTAGAATTCGTTGCAGAAACAAGGCTGAACAACTCATACTGCCTTGATATCTATTTTTCTGCCCAATTCTTCCATAGGCCTTCTCTTCCCTTCCTCCCCATTAGTGACATGATAACCATGTCCATAGGATTAGTTGAGTGCAAATCCTAGAAATAAACCGATAAAATGGCAAAACACCAACTTACCTTCAAAATCTCATACATGTAGAATCGAATATCATAATCTGTTAATGTCTGGTATAATTGCTGTGGGATACAAACACATCATATCAGTGTTCAACACCCAAGAAAAATATCACATCCCTGCCAATCCAGAACAACTCAGCCCTGTTCTCTGCTGCTGTGGTTCTCCAAACCTATTTGAAGGAGCAGTAAAACTTTCCCAAGTTACTCCGATCAGTCTGTTCCTCTCCCCTTTCAAATCACATACATAGTTTACTTCCAGCTCTGCTCAGACAGTACATTCTGGTTCCTGTCACTAACTCCCTCAGGTTGCACTCACCCACTACCAGCACAATGGATTATGCCTGCAGACTGGGTCTCAGAAAGACCAAGGGTGCTCTGCAACATTAAGCAGCTATTCCAGATGGCATTGCACAGCCATTCTTCTCCTGAGGCAGGTCAGTAGGGAAGGGGACAAAGAAACATTTAAATCCCTTTTCCCAGAAGTATGGAAAGCCACAGAAACAGCTGTCCACATTTAAAGAGGTTCCAATAAATAGTTCTACACTGAACATAAAAGCAAAAATGTTTCAAAAAGGCAGGCACTGATGGTCCACAAGATAACAGATTAATTTGCTCCGAAGGCTAGAATACTAGAATACCACTTGGAATCTGGATTCTCATCTTGTAACTTCTGTGGCAAAATGGTACCAAAGGACTAATCACAAACTTCTGTGCCAAGTGTATTTACCTTTAAAGACAGTTACTATGTTGGAAGGAAACGATTAAATAACCTGCCTGTCCCCTACGTACTTGCCTTTCCCCAGAAAAACATTACAAGTGGCTTTCAAACGGAAAACATTAGAAGTTCACGTCCCACACTGTACCTTAAAGTCTGTGTTGTTTACATGTTCAAAAACCAAAGCGGGTGTCCGAGACTAAAACAGAGAGAAAAGCGTTCAGCCATGTTAAGTTGAGAAAATATGTTTTCATTTAGGATAATTAATTAAACCATTTTTACTCCTAAAACTGCTAGAAGCCCCTCTGCCTCAGACATACTTATGATTCCCCTCAGAGAAACCAAAGCCAAAGCCTGCAGCCCCTGCCAGCACTGTTTGTAGAATGAATTAACTTGTCTCAGTTCACTGGTATCTCATCCTTACAGAGTGAGGGGCTGAAGGGACCTGGGGGGGGGAAGGGCCCTCTAAAAGAAGTTAATCAGATTAAGAGCTGATCTGATTAAGCAATTCAAAAGCAGGATTTAAGAGCAGGGGAAAACAAAAAGCTAGATCAGAGCTGAAGTCAAACACAGCAATTTCACCCATAACCCCAGCATACCCTTTAAGTTCCTTCCATACTCACCACAGGATCTTTTACTATATCTGCAAGAGTGATTATATTGGGACCGCCTCGCAAGTTCTCTAAGATCTTGATTTCACGCTTGATTTTCTTCTTTTTAACAGGCTGAAGAATAAAAACCCAAAGTGTAAGACAAAGCACTCCAGTAAAGTGAGGCTAATAGACAGCTCAACATCCAGATGACAAAAGTCGGTGACTGCAAGTCAGCAAAATACATCAGAGTCTTTGCAAGTTAAGTTCAAACAGCTAGATCTTGCTGTTACCTGACTATGCATCATTCCAGTAAGGGCTCAAATACCTGCCATCTCCTTTCTAACCATACAACCCTGACAGCTACAAACATTAGTTTCATGTGAATGACAGTTAGGAAGATGACATATATTTTTTAAAGCTGTCTGAACATGATCTGATAGTCCAAAACTTCTTAACTGGCATGTGGTAAATGTGTAACTACGAGAAGTCCATGAGCTATCTACGGGCCACTAAATGAAGGTATTTCACCAATCAAGGCTGTGGAATAACCAGCATCCAGGAGACCCTTTCTCAATCTGGAAGGATATTACATGTGCAATGGAACATGCAGAGCAGAAATGAAAATTTTAAGGTTAGCAGTCCCTAAATCTAATCAGTGGCCTTAAAAGACAATGATCCCATTAGGTCATAGGCCTCTATGCACATGACAGCATGCCAGGGCACTGGCAGTTAGAGAAGCTGAGAATTTTCTAGTCAGCTGTTGAAGTGTTGCTTAGCTCCAAGTAAAATGTGTTGCACATCAGGACTTCTTTAAGATAGAGGCTAATTCCTTACAGGCAGAGATGTGACTTAATTATTAAGTCTAGGGCTTCTCTTAGGAGGCTCAAAATGATGGACCATTTCACTGAATGACACTCCAAAGCTAGGCTTTAAGGATTTCAGTTTTAGACCATTGAATGTTTTAGACCATTGAATGTTTTAGACCATACGCTGCACTTCCTGGCCTCCTGATTACCTCAATACAGATTTTATCTTTTCCCCAATCCCAAGCTCACCTTGAGAATTTTAACAACTACTTTTTCATTATTTGTAATGTTGATGGCTTCAAACACTTCACTGTATTTGCCTCGGCCTAATTTTCGAACTAGTTGGTAGTCATCTTGATTTCTGTGGAGATAGAAGTTAAGAGTTACAAAGAGCTCAGTCATTTCCATCACAATTTACAAACTAATCCTTAACACTAAATCACTGCCTCACCTTCCAGACAAGGTGGATTAACTAGTGTCTTACATCTCCTGAACATCATGATTAAGAATTAGGAGAGAAATAGGGAGCTTCTACTCACCCAAGTTAGATTCAATCCAGAACTTATTTCTTCTGCAGTAGGTAACATAAGCCCAACTATGCATTTCAGCATCAGCAAACTTGAGCTATCCCTTCCACTGGTCCCTCTATATTTGGAAGCCACATTTTTCCTTGTGTAACGTTGTTAAAAATCAGCAAAGCCAGTAAGACCAAAAATTTAAGTGCTAGCCTGTTTAAAAACAGACTAGGCACAAAACACCACTTATGCTCAGAAGACTGTATACATTTCAGAAACCAGGAATTGCAACAAAGTTGAGCGCAGAACTTAGTCTGGGCCCTGCTATACAAAAGCAGGAACGCAGAGCTATGAAGCTGGCATCACTGCTGTCTGATTCTTGGACGGTTTAGTCATGAGCCCAATTTAGACACCTTCTTCCTTCAAAAAGAAGCAGACATGTCTTTTCCAGTCACTCGCAGAGAGCTGAGCAACAAGTCACAAAATAGCATGTACCTATTTAAGTCTGCTGAGTCTCTTCACCCATCCAAGTCAGAAGCAACTCAGATGTCTTTTCACTTCTTTTCAGTTCTCACCCAGGGCTGTTTAGATTGTTTCAGAAAAAGATTTTCTCCCCTCCGAAAGGGGATGTTTCCTGACTACCTGGCAAAAATTCTTCAAACCAAACTCTTAAGGAAGCTGCTAAAAATGTTCCTGCATCACTGGGGATTTAAAATTTTGACAAGAAACACTTTTCTGAAGACAAGTTGTGATCCTAACACTTGCCATGCACACTAGACATCTGCCAAGGAGCACGAAAAAGCCTAATGCAGCACAGGTGCCTGAAATCCCCCCATGCACCACTATGCAGGACACTACAGGGATTGATCCTTGTCCAGGGACATCCATAAGCAGCCCAGAGACTTACCCCCACTCAACAACATGCGACTCATAGTCCCAGTACTCCCGGGGTCTGTGTGTGTTCACATCCGTGTAAACTCTGGCCCTGCTCGGCACGGGTCCCGACATATCAGACAGGTTGGCAGGTGAAAATGATGAGATGTCTGAAATCAGAGGCTACCCAAACTGCAAAGCTGGACAGAGGATAAAGGCCTCAGATTCTTCCACCTGCAGAGAGAAAATAAACCAGAGGTTAAAATCTCAAGATACTATAAAAATATTTAAGTTAATCATTAAAAGCTGCTGAGGAGAGGCTGGAGCCCAGCCACAGGCCTGGGATCATCTGTCAGAGCTTGAAAACAATTTGTCTGCTCTCCCTCACAAGGGACAGGACCACTTGGCCCCACTAGCAAAAGTAACACCCACCCCCCCCGCCCCGCCCCTTGCAACTTCAGCATGTAGTTTCCAACTTACAGTTGCAAAGATAACTTTCCAAAAAGGAAGATATGCAACATACTCTGTATCTGCAGTCTCCTTCCTTTCAGCTCCAGAGTGAAAGCAGCAGCCATCAGCTGCAATTTCTCCCCCATCCAGGAAGAAGTCTTGAGCCATCCCATGTAACCAAAACACTTCATTCACTCGAGGTTGCACAACTATCACCTCTTGCAATGCACTAATAAACAATGCTGCAAACAGAGCTGACAGATCAACAAGGTCACCTGTGCAACCGAAATTAAGCACTTCCTGAAGTTTAAACTTCTAGAAACACCAGTGTTCATTTAAATCAGAACTTCAGGATTTATCTGCAATTCTTAAAGGGACTGAAGCCTTTCATGTGCTCACACATAAAGGTTTGCCTGGCTACGTTGATTCATTCTGTGGAAAGGAAAAAAAAAAACCCTGAACTGAACACTACTCTGCCCTTTCTGTCTGGAAAATGCAGGTACTAACCGAAGCATTTATGTACAAAGCAAGGCTGGTCAGCTCAGGAGCAGGTTTCTGGAGGAGAGCAGAGAAATCCAGATACTGTGTCAGAACATGGATCTTCTCAGTTTTAAGCACCCTCCCACTTGTATATTACTGTACAGGCTTGTATAAAACAGCTTAGCAGCATTTGAAAATAATCCCTCATGCTGCTTTCCCCACAAAATAAAAATTTAAATGTATTCACCTGAAAGCAGCATCAGGACCAAAACATTATCCAAAGATAAGATTGCTGAAGTCTGAACATCACTCTGGGGATTTTCATAGTACAATGTTTTTCTCATTTCTACATATTCTGAAGAAGGCTTTTGCTACTCTGTTCAAGCCCTCCTGCACACACATCTCATCCTACCATCCCACAACAGATACCTTCTACATATAACCCAGTGCCCACTTGAAAGTGAGCAAGACTTACAGAACAGGCAACCACTGGGTTTTGTCTCTGGGCTTACTCAAGGAAAAAAAAAAGCAGCACCACACTGTACAATGCAATTAAGTCCTAGCACAGACAATAGCATTCTCCAGAACATGTAGGACATTTATAATGATAAGCTACATCCATACTAATTAGACAATCATGAGGAAAACTACATCCCCAACTAGCAGTGAGACAAGAAAGGACATTGGGAAGACCTCATAGAGGTCAGTCACCAGGAACCATTCAGGGATTAAATGGCTTTAGGATGCTCAGAAGACTTCACAACAAACCAAGGCATCCAGAAGAGTTCTGCTGGGATGGGGCACCAGTTTTGGTCACAACTTTCTATAGTCAAGACATTAAATCTGACTGTCCAAAAGACAGGGCATCTGTGTTGGATTATGACGCTTTATCCAAACACAAAAGAAAGACTCTGCTGCAATGATCTAAAGATGTTTCTTTGCATTCTGCTTGTCCAAAGGATTTGGTAAGCACCTCCACCTCTTCCTCCTTATAATGCAATTTTTGCAAAACTTCTGTTAAGTTTTATAAGTATTCAGACTAGTCAAAATAACTCAAGAGAAAGTTACTGTATGTCAGAAACAAATACTCTCATTTCTGAATATTTAAGACAACAGTAACTTACTACAATTTCAGACCAAAGTATTGTCCTGCCTAAAATAAAAATAGTGCCTTGGCACCTCTCAAATCTTTCACCACGAGTGAAAGCTGACACACTTCTAAACATTTGAATACAAGAATCTCTTTGTCAGCTTTCAAAATATCTTAAAAGGAAGGAAGCTGTATTGGAGCATGAAAGAGTATTGTTTGGTGTGTAGCATATGGCAGAGACTATACAGCCCTGTTTATAGAAAGGTGCTCAATCAGTGGGCAATGCTATAATCTGAACGAATATAATGTATTTATTTGCTATGGCGATCTTATCCCTTCACAGAAAATGGGCAACTGCCAGACTGCAGGAGGAAGTAATAGTCCCATTAATCAGAAAGACCTAGAAATCTGCTCAGAGCAGTTAGCTTAGGCTATCAGGATATGTCACACCAGAAGAAAATTCTAGAAGCAAACCCCTGCTTTATTAGCAGTATCCTGTCATTAATTGGAGGTCTGCAGTACTTCAGGCTGCTGCAAGGACCGCAGCAAGAACCACTGGCTATGAAGATGGTGGAGGACCTGGGGGACACAGGTCTGATGTCCTTCACCGTGTCACAGCTTGACCAGCAGCTGGTTCTGCATTTGGAGGCAGAACTGTACGTGAGGTCTCTTTCTGGTGTGGACTAAGCCTCCTCAGGTGGTACAGACCTTGGCAGCGTGGGTTATTTTTTGACCTATTGACACACCAACGGTGTTGAAGGCAGCTCCAGGTAGACAGGGTTACGGCAATCCAGCCCCAAGGCTAAAAAGGGACACAGCACTGCTCCAAAGTCCACAACAGAGGTGTGACTGAGGCTTCAGCCCAATAAAGGAAGGACGTGGCACTTCAGCCAGGTGTTCAGCTAACGGAAGAATATGAAGCATTACTAAAAAAAAAAAAAAAAAAAAGTCTATTCCTGGACAAAACGTTAGTACTCTAACAAAACACACTTTCAGAAGGTTAGGCAGCAATCATCTAAGACCTCAAACCATTTATGTAGCATGACTCTCAGACTTAGAAATTAGATGTATATTCCAAAAATGTACTCAGGCATTAACAGAGCATGCAAGTTTACTAGAACACTTTTAGTACAGTGAAATTTATTAGACTTCAAAGTTTAATCACTGTGTTTTTGTTTCTCCTCATTCCATGTGCTTCTGGCAGGAGATGCACTGGCTAACTTCCTCTGCCCAATATTCCTTGTGTAGGAATTAACTGAACCTATGTATGTCTAAGATGACTTAGCAATTTTAATTTTTAAGCACAACTTGGTATCAATAAAGAACACATAACTGCTCCACCTCACCCAGCTTAGCAGCATCAGTTTCAGCATGGAAAAAAATAATAAAAAAGAAAAATCAATCACATTATCTAAAGATATATCAAATTTCACAGCGGATATTTTTTGTCACGTAGCTCCAGCCTAGCACAAGCTGTATGTTGTAACAGACTGCTCAGAGAAAGGCTTTTTCAGGAAATCATTGACTGTAGCTTCTAAGAATGGCACACAATGCCTATTTACGAAGGTAGGTATTATTGTCTACTGTTCTTCATACAGGAAGAGGAGAGAGTCTGCACAGATAATTTGGTTTTAAAGCAAACAAAGTTACATACAAACTCACCCTGCCTGAAAGCTTCTCACTCCCTCTGCTCAAAACTGCTAAGGAATTTGTATATATTTTGCTTTCACTGCCCCTAGAGAGGGATAATTTTGCAGTGGATCCAAGCTCTTTGACAGAAGGGACTGACACAAATATGGACAAATAACGGGAACAGGTGTGCTCATGCAAAAGTCAGTTTAGCTTGCAGTTTCAAGGCAGAAAGCCTACAGTATGAGTAGCAATTACACCTAGATGAGATGAGTGTCCTGAGCTTGTTATAAAGGATGAGTTCTATTTCTGCAGAATCCAAACAGAACATGTAATTTATTAATTCCTGCATTAATGACAGAATAATTTATATTGGGAGAGACTGCTGAAAATAATCTAATCAAAGTAGATCTAATCAGGTCAGATTGCCATGTCCAGTGTAGTCTTGAGCATCTCCAAAAAACACAATGCACCTCTGAAAATTTTAATTTCTCTGGTAGAGAAGGTCTTAACTAGGAAACATAACCATGAGCTTTTAGGCAATATACCAGAGGTCACAGAGAGGGGAAGACAAAGCTTCCAGTTATTGTCTGATACACACTGTCCAGTGCTAAGGCTTGCCTGTGCAGGGACAGAAAAACAGGTCTTCTGTTTTAGCACTTGTGGTGACACCCCTTGGGAAGACATTACCGAACAGCGCTCACATGGTAGCTATAGCAAACAAGCACCATGCAAAAGTTTCAGTGCTTTGTTTTCCCACATAGGCCTACCCTTAAAAATGCAGTTTAAGTATTAATAAACTGATAACTAGCTAATCTCTTACACAGCATCCTTATCAAGAGCACTCCATAGGACCTCCGTTCATCCTGCATACAAAAAAATCCCAAGAACACAGCCAAATACAGCACTGCATGTACTACTGATAATTACTCCACAGGAGTGCCTGAGAGCCCCAGTCAAGAGACAAAAACAATTGTGCTATCACCATATAGGAATTTTTTAATTGGAAGGTCTATTAATTAAAAGAGATCAGTTCTTAAAAGTTTGAATTATTCTAACAGTAGCCTATTGTCTGTACAGCTTAGCTTGCCAAGCCAGACTTTTTATGCCTAAAGTTCCATAAAACGGTAAAAAGCCTCTCAATGTTTACTTTGAACTTGATTTTTAACACATTTTAATTTAAACCACTGTTACTACCCCCTTCCTTTTTAAAAAGGGATTTTATCATCCTTACAATGCGCTCTAATCTCAATGGCAACCCCCATCCCCAGGGAGGACTTGATTTCTTGTGAAGTACCCATACTTACAGCACCTATACCCAATTAGTACAGGAATTTCCTATGCACTCTGTCCTTCCAGATGTATCCACTTACAGCAAGCAGCAACAAAACATAGCTAAGAAATCTATGCAAATTAGTTTTTTTAAACACCTACTTAGCTTCTAAAAAAAAAAAAAAAGGGGAATTTTACAAGTCAAGAATCACTGAGATACCGGAATTTTTTTTTTTCCTCCTTTTAAATTGAAATGTTTTTGGCACAGAGCTTCTCTCAAGCACATGGTTACTCACTCAGAACCTTAAACCTAAGAAGTTGCACCAGTATGATGCAGCACTCATACAGACTCCCAGTGAGCTGGAAGCCAAGAGCTTCCCAGAAGACTGGTGTCCCGAGGAACCTGCAAGTGCTATCCAAGTGATGACCTTTGTGGATAAGGTCTGGAGTATAAATAATGCACCCAAGAACAGGAGTACTGCTTGACACTGGCCTCCCTGTGGATTGCTGCTACCAGCACAACTTGCCCTCAGTATCAGCAGTATATTGCCAGTAGTTCCAAGTTCATCCAGACAGAATGAACCCAGTGAACTACATTCAACACCACATAAACATGATCATTACCGATGACCCATCTGAACTCAGATTCAGGTAGCAGAGAGCAGTCCCTCTGCTACCTGGAGGTAGATAGGCCCCAAGGAATAAGATAGGCCCCAAATTGCACCAAGCCAAACTCAAAGAACCAAGAAAATATTTCTGTTGCTTTATCAATTCCAGATAGACTGCCCCAGACAACCACATCTTCCCCTCAAGGAGAAAGCGAGATGCACAAATTGGTCAAATGGGTCTAGAGACTTTCCTCTCACTTCTACTTTCCCCATGTAAGCTCATTACCAGCGGCGATTGTGACAGACTAAGACTGCAAACAGGCTAAGACAGACAGCAGCCAGTTAATTTTGAAAAAAGAAAAGCCCTCTGTCAGCTGAGAAGACCAGAATTACAGTAAGTAGTCTGGAATCAAAAGGTCATTCCTTTCTTTTATCCACAACTGCAAGTGAGACGTTACCTTTCACAGTAAACGGCTCAAACTCAACCTCTGAAATCATGAGTGTATAACATGCTTTATTAGTGAGAGGAAGCATTACAATTTTCAGATAAAATTGATTATTATTTCCTTCACATAGCCCATTTATCCCTTGCCTGTAAGCCTCCCAGGGAAGGAGTGCTCACTTCTTCAGAGTTTGGAGAATATCTAGTACTGGATAGACACCACTGAAATTAAAAGATCAAGACATGCTTAAATACTACAGTACAGCCTACTAGCAGCCAACATTAATCAAAACCCAGCTTACCTTTAAAAGAAGAAATAATAGTAACCAACTCTATAAAAAATATGTTCTGTCTCACAAAATAAATCTTATTTGTGTATTTTCATGATGCTGGAACTGCAGCAATATGAGTATGGAACAGATGACCTCCAGAAGTCCCTTGCAACCTATATTTTTCTATGATTTTATAGCTGAAATAGAAACAAGCCTGGATTAACAAAACTGACATATTACATCCTTTCCTGAAGACCATTTACCTACTAAAGGGACAACATCAATAGAAAAGCAGATTTTAAAATCTGAGTTAAAAAAAAGCTGAGGTTTGAAATCAAACTTTTCTCTTGGTATTTTTTTTTGAACAGCACAGTCTGCTCTAACTACTTTTTTCCACCAAAATTATTTTCCGGACTTCTTTTAAATAGCTGATTGTGTCCGGCTGTGGAGAAATAACAAATCATGATATGAAGACCTCAACATTCTCTTAAAAAAGAAACAGGAACAGTTGTGATTAATTCAAAACAAGACATGACCAGTCACTAGGGAAGACAGTTGACAGGTTTAGTTGAACTGGAAGAAACATCTTGGAGTAATTTTGTACTAGCAACATCCTAAAATTGAGACTGGTTCTTCCTTCATCAGCTTCACCAACTCCTCCCCTGAATTCCTTGCAGTTCCTGCCAATGAAGAAGTCATCCCTTGTAATGAGCATCACAGCCTATATGAAGTCACAGGACTGACCACGAAACGGTTTTACTGTAACTCCCTATTTTATGATAATCTCCACAGCCTTGGGGAAAACTTAACTCTCCCGCTTCACAAATGTAGAAAGCAGCATACATCATGCCTGACAATCTCCAGGTTGCCCTGGCAGTATCACTGGTACCCACATGCTGTCCTAGCATAAGTTCTGTCACAGTTAAGTCTTCATTTTTGTTCAGACCTGTAACAGCTAAATTTTAGTGGAGCTTACACAGACCCTCTACAGGTTTCCACCATCTCAGCCTAGCTGGGCAACTGTCCTCTGCAAAACTTTAGTGTTGGCAACAGCACATGTACCTGGGGCAGAACAGCTGGGACCTTCTCCAGCAGCAGGAAGCTGCCAGTGATGGGAACGTTCCTCACTCCATCTCCTAAGGGATTTTATACAGAACAGTCGACTTTGAAAGCTCTTCTCTTCCCACTTCTCCCCCAAAGTCAGGGACTCTCCCTCATCTTTTCCAAACTAAGCTAGTCCACAGCACACAGAGCAAAGGGAAAACTCTTCCTAACACAAAAACACTGAGACTGATCTCGGATGAGACTGTGTGACTGCAGTGGACAGCGACACCAGCGAGGCACCCAAGCCCCAGCAGCCTATTGCAGGCTCTGCCACTTTCCTACACCTGTGACTTCTCCTGCCACAGTTCCCAGCCTCCCACAAATCACAGTGGACATCCTTGCTGAAGACTCCTGACACAATCAAATAAAAATGGCTACAAATGTAACCAGGAATTG